TTTTTAATTAAGGCATTTACATAGTTTTTGTCAGACATAACACTGTTGCACACTTAACAGACTACAGCATAGTGTAAACATAACCTTTATATGCATCAGAAAACCAAAAAATTCGTTTGACTTGCTTTATTGTGATACTCACTTTATTGTACTGGTCTGGAACAAAACTCTTGGTATCTCCAAAATATGACTGTACTCTAAAATGCTGCCATGGTTACATCTCATTATATTGTCCTATATGCTCAAGTTTCATCATAAAGAAAGTTTCTGGCTAACAAATTAGTATTACTTAAAAATTAAAACATTTGGTGAGTACTATATCTACCAATTCTCTAGTGTTTCTGAATTGATAAACATTGAAGCTAAAATGCTACTTTGGACAATTTTTGGAAAGAGAGACCATTATGACTTATTACAAGCTGTTATCTGTAGATGGTAGTTCATAAGATTGAAAACTGGTCCATCAAATTGCTCAACAATATGACACAAAAAACTATATATGTATATGAATTTAAGATATAATAATGATTTCTAGTCATAGGCAAATTATTATTTTTGTAGTCAGAATGTGATATACTTGAACAGAATTACAATGACAAATTAGGAAATACAGTCACAATGCAAAATAACAAAATGCTATAAAAGAATTAGAATTCAATGAGTTGTGTGACCCAAAATAAAACATTCTCTATAAAGCAGACTCTACAACAAATAAAAGTTGAATTAATGTAGGAAAATCAAAGCTATGTGTATTTGATATATTAATTACTCTTAAGTTATTTAAATTACTTTCTCCTTAAATTTTAAGACATATCTGGATTTGTCATTTATGCTCCCAGCTATTGTACTATATAATAAGCCTACAGGTATATAATAAATGTAGCAACTGCATGTCAGGTTCTCAATGATTATTTGTTGAATAAATTAACAAATATTGTCCCCAATCAGTTTTACTGCCCAGCTGCAACTCTCATAGCAAATCCTCACTCATACAGGTTGGTATGGCCAAAATCTACCTTAATAACGGCCAAATGATAATGAGGCCAAACCTGATGTAAAAGGGGAAATTTCTGAGTTACATGGAAAAATGGAAGATGAAAAAAAAGTATCTGGGGGTGAAAGGGTCAAAAAGAATGAATGTTAAAAAAGAAAGGTAAACATTGTAATTTCAGCCATGGTAAAGTACAGAGGTCAGTTTACAAATGGCAGGTAAGGTCAAATTTAGGAAGGGAGCAAAGGCAAACACAGACTATGTAAGACAAATGAGAAGAGACAAAAGACTTAAACAAATGAAAGAAAAAAATAACCATTGGTAGACTATTCTTGAGATTAGTATTTAAGCAAATGAAAGTTGATAGCTTACTTTGGAAAATTATGGCAATAAGATTCTTATAACTAACAGACTTTTAAAAGCAGCTAGAGAGAGAAAAAAGATCACATACAAAGCAAAACCCATCAGGCTATCATCAGACTTCTCAACAGAAACCTTACAGACCAGAAGGGAGTGGCATGATATATTTAATGCAATGAAGCAGGTTTAATGCCTTGAACCAAGAATAGTATACCGGACAAGGTTATCATTTAAATTTGAAGGAGAGATTAAACAATTTTCAGATAAGAAAAAGTTGAGAGAATTTACCTCCCACAAACCACCTCTACAGTGCATTTTGGAGGGACTCCTATAGATGGAAGTATTCCTAAGGCTAAATAGATGTCACCCAAGGGATAGACAAAGAGCACAGAACATGATTCATAACATATAAAGAATGGAGGAGGAAGAAAAAGGAGAAAAAGAAAAAAGAAGAACCTTTAGGTGGTGTCTGTAATAGTACACAAAGTGAATTAAATTAGACTGTTAGATAATAAGGGAATTACCCTTGAACCTTTGGTAACCACGAATCTAAAGCCTGCAATGGCAATAAGTACATACCTGTCGATGATCACCCTAAATGTAAATGGTCTGAATGCACGAATCAAAACACAAAGAGTCACTGAATGGATTAAAAAACAAGACCCGTCTATATGCTGCCTACAAGAGACTCACTTCAAACCCAAAGACATACACAGACTAAAGGTAAACGGATGGAAAAAGATATTTCATGCAACTAACAGGAAGAAAAAAGCAGGAGTTGCAGTACTTGTATCAGACAAAATAGACTTCAAAAAAAAGAAAGTCAAAAGAGACAAAGGACATTACATAATGATAAAGGGGTCAGTCCAACAAGAGGATATAAGTATTATAAATATCTATGCACACAACACAGGATCACCTACATATGTGAAACAAATACTAACAGAATTAAAGGGGGAAACAGAATGCAATGCATTCATTTTAGGAGACTTCAACACACCACTCACTCCAAAGGACAGATCAACCAGACAGAAAATAAGTAAAGAGACAGAGGCACTGAACAACATATTAGAACAGATGGACCTAACAGACATCTACAGAACACTCCATCCAGAGCAACAGGATATACATTCTTCTCAAGTGCACATGGAACATTTTCAAGAATAGATCATATACTAGGCCACAAAAAGAACCTCAGTAAATTCAAAAAGACTGAAATTGTACCAACCAGCTTCTCAGATCACAAAGGTATGAAACTAGAAACAAATCACATAAAGAAAACGAAAAAGCCCACAAACATATGGAGGCTTAATAACATGCTCCTAAATAATCAATGGATCAATGACCAAATAAAAACAGAGATCAAGCAATATATGGAGACAAATGACAACAATAATTCAACACCGCAAACTCTGTGGGACACAGCAAAGGCCATGCCAGGAGGGAAATATATTGCAATACAGGAGTACCTGAGGAGAGAAGAACAATTCCAAATGAACAGTCTAAGCTTACAATTAATGAAACTAGAAAAAGAAGAACAAATGAGGCCCCAAGTCAATAGAAGGAGGGACATAATAAAGATTGAAGCAGAAATAAATAACATTGAGAAGAATAAAATAATATAGAAAGAATCAATGAAAGCAGGAGCTGGTTGTCCGAGAAAATAAACAAACTAGATATACAGGACACTCTTAAAAGAAATTAAAGAGGATACTAATAAGTGGAAATTCACCCCATGTTCTTGGATAGGAAGAATTAATATTGTCAAAATGGCCATCCTGCCCAAAGCAATCTACAGATTCAATGCAATCCCTATCAAAATACCTACAGCATTCTTCAATGAACTAGAGCAAACAGTTCTAAAATTCATATGAAACCACAAAAGACCCTGAACAGCTAAAGCAATCCTGAGAAGGAAGAATAAAGCAGGGGGAATTACGCTCCCTGACTTCAAGCTCTACTACAAAGCCACAGTCATTAAGACAATTTGGTACTGGCACAAGAGCAGACCCATAGACCAGTGGAACAGAATAGAGAGTCCGGATATTAACCCAAGCATATATGGTCAATTAATATACGATAAAGGAGCCATGGATATACAATGGGAAATGACAGCCTCTTCAACAGCTGGTGTTGGCAAAACTGGACAGCTACATGTAAGAGAATGAAACTGGATCATTGTCTAACCCCATACACAAAAGTAAACTCAAAATGGATCAAAGAGCTGAATATAAGTCATGAAACCATGAAACTCTTAGAAAAAAACATAGACAAAAATCTCTTGGACATAAACATGAGCAACCTCTTCATGAACATATCTCCCTGGGCAAGGAAAACAAAAGCAAAAAATGAACTAGTGGGATTATATCAAACTAAAAAGCTTCTGTACAGCAAAGGATACCATCAGTAGAACAAAAAGACATCCTACAGTATGGGAGAATACATTCATAAATGACAGATCCGATAAAAGTTTGACATCCAAAATATATAAAGAGCCCACATACCTCAACAAACAAAAAGCAAATAATCCAATAAAAAAATGGGCACAGGATCTGAACTGTCACTTCTCCAAAGAAGAAATTCAGATGGCCAAGAGACACTTGAAAAGATGCTCCACATCGTGCTAATCATCAGGGAAATGCAAATTAAAACCACAATAAGATATCACCTCATACCAGTTAGAATGGCCAACATCCAAAAGACAAACAACAACAAATGTTGGTGAGAAGTGGAGAAAGGGGAACCCTCCTACATTGCTGGTGGGAATGTAAATAAGTTCAACCATTGTGGAAAGCAGTATGGAGGTTTCTCAAAAAACTCAAAATAGAAATACCATTTGATCCAGGAATTCCACTCTTAGGAATTTACCCTAAGAATGCAGCAGCCCAGTTTGAAAAAGACATATGCACCCCTATGTTTATCTCAGCACTATTTACAATAGCCAAGAACTGGAAGCAACCTAAGTGTTCATCAGTAGATGAATGGATAAAGAAGATGTGGTACATATACACAATGGAATATTATTCAGCCATAAGAAGAAAACATATCCTACCATTTGCAACAACACGGATGGAGCTAGAGGGTATTATGCTCAGTGAAATAAGCCTGGCAGAGAAAGACAAGTATCAAATGATTTCACTCATCTGTGGAGTATAAAAACAAAGAAAAAACTGAAGGAACAAAACAGCAGCAGACTCACAGAACCCAAGAATGGAGTAACAGCTACCAAAGGGAAAGGGACTGGGGAGGGTGGGTGGGAAGAGAGGAATAAGGTGGAAAAGGGGGCATTACAATAACACACATAATGTAGTAAGGGGGGATACGGGAAAGGCAGTATATACAGAGAAGACAAGTAGTGATTCTATAGCATCTTACACTGATGGACAGTGACTGTAATGGGGTATGTGGGGCAGACTTGATAATAGGGGGAGTCTAGTAACCATGTTGTTGATCAAGTAATTGTACATTAAGAATATCAAAATAAAAAAAATAAAGAATTCTTGTAACGAACTGGAAGAGTACTTTCACTTTCATAAAAATTAATTTAGCAAAGTGATTTGGACTCTGCCATACACTGTTATTTGATAGACCTACTCCCCCATTTTAAACAGTGACAAGAATATTATTTTTAAGACTCTTGAAGTCCTACCTTATATGGGCTAATTAGTCTTCTTTTAATATCCAACCTATAGTTTCTGTATTGTTCAGCATCACTCATGTCCGTTACCAGCAGTCGAAGAATTTCATAAACCCGTCTAGCATGTTGCTTTTTAAATGAAACAAAATAAAAATATGAACATTGTCAAAGTACAAAACAGTGACACTTATCCAAAAGAATACAAAATACATTGCATATCTGCCATGACCAGAAATTGTGCTAGCTATCAGACAAAAAGCAGTAAAAGATAGTTTCTGCCCTCAAGAAGCTAGCAGTCTAATGGGTAATACAAATGACTGACGTATGGCTAATTTAATGATAGAAATAAGTACAGCTGTACGATAACATAGCCTGGGAAAGCGTAAAATAGAAGAGGATTCTTGGGGGAGTAAAATCTGAGCTGAATCTTAAAGGGAAAGGAGCATGCCATTCTAGAAAGGGGAGGTCAGCGTGTGTGTGTGTGCATGCAGAAAAGAAGTGATTTGACACTGCTACCACACAAAATGAGAGCAAGGAGTAGGAGTAGAGTGAGGATGGAGCAGAAGCACACAGCCTTACATACTGTGGTAGAGCTGGGCTTTTATCTAGTAAGTGAGAGATTTTAAATGAGGGAGTGAGCAAAGCACATAAATTTGAGTTTTAAGTTAAACATTCTCTCAAAGCTGCATAGAAATGGTAGCAAAAAGAAGGGCAGGGAGACCGATCAGGAAGCTGAGCTGAAATCATGCAAAAAATGATGAGGGCATGAACTGAAACAGCACCAGTAAGAATACTAAGGGAACAAAGATTCTAGAAATACAGAAGAATAAAGATTGGCTCTGGAAGGTGTAGAGTCACAGTGAGTTTTCACAGCCTAGGGAAGATTTAGGAGGCTAGAACATACAAATCTGAAGAAAATTCTAGTCTAAGGGTGAGGATTTAAGCATTATCAGTACACAAGCAAGAGTTAAAGGCATACGACTGGTTAAGATCATCCAGGAAGAGCAGACATAATGTAAAGAGGAGGTCAGAATCCTGTAGTACAGTGACAGAGGACACAGAAAAACAAAGAAATACTGGGAGCATCAGGAAGTTTTTATATTATTGAAACCAAAGAAAAAGCCCATAGCTTTGAATGTTTGTATTGTTTCTCTTATATATTTACTGGGGTCAGGGGAAAGGTCAGGTATAGATAGACTGGGAAGATATCTGAACTTGATGGCATCGACACCTGAGCTGAGCTTGAAAAAATGAGTACTGTCCGGCCAGCCAAAGATGGAGGAACAGAAGGGGACGTCTAGGGCAAAGGGAACAGTAGATGCAAAGGGACATAAAAGGAGTAAAGATGGAGCACAGTTGGGAAGTGGCAGGAGGCTCAGTCAAGCCAGAGCATGTTGTAAAGCAGTAGGAAGCGGAGGCTAGCAAAGCAGGCAAGGCAGGGACTAGATGATGAGGTGCTCTGTGTGCCACACTAAGGAGTTTTGATTCCTCTAAGAAGAAAAAAAAGGCTTAAATTAATACAGTCTATAGAAATAAATTATTTCTAAAATACATATTTTATATTAAAGCCAGGAAGCCATGAAAATGTTTTAATGTAGAAGAAGATGGAAAGTTTCTGTTCAAATTAAGTTGTTTGTTGAAGGGCAAGGACCAGGGAACTTTTAGTACATAGCTGGAGCTCAGGATTGGAAATTTAGATGAGAGATGTCAGGTAGAATAAATAGAATGAGAAGAAATAAGGATTCAATAAAGAACTTTGGGGAAGAACTGTTATATTTAAGGAACATACAGAGGAGCAGAAATCAGTAAAAGTATCTCAAAAAAGATTACCACAGTGGTAAGCAGAAAGCCAGGAACTAAAGTGCCTTAGAAGCCAGGGGAGGAAGGGCAACAGGACCAAATGCTCGTCCTTGCCAGCACACCCTTTGTCCTGCATACTTTCATGATCCAAATCCTACCCTTTGTTCAAGGCTTAGACCAAATGCATCCCTCTCAGGAAATACCCTGATTCCCTTGCCTACATAAGTAAAACAGACTGCCTCTACCTCTGGACTACCACATAATTTTTGCTGTACTTATCTTAAAATATTACTTTAAAATTCAAAGATATAGAAGTATATAAAGTGCAAGTTAAGTGTTTTACTCTACCCTTTATCACCACCAACACTGTCTCCAGGGTTAACAACTACTTTACCAGTTTATAAACAATTTCTTAAAAAGCAAAAATAAGATCCTACTACCCATTTTGGTTTTGCTTGTTACACTTAATACAGCCATGAAGTCAATTATCTTCCGATTCTATTAATGAAAAAATTAAAGCACAGGAGGTAAACTGAGTTGCCCTAAGTCACAGAACAAGTGGTAGAACCAGATTTGAACCCAGGCAATTTGGCTTCAGACCTAGTAATCTTAATCACTGTTACTTCCTACACATGTATTCTAAATGTTCTTGCACTGTTTAAGTTATGGACTTAAGAAAAAAGTGTTGATTCCTTGCAGCAATGGCTGCAAACAGTAGCCTCCTCGATAGTTATACAAGCAGCCTGCTGCTTGTATAAGTTGTCCTAAGGGACGGTGGAGACAGCCCTTTCCAGAGAACATTTATGTCTGACCTCATGCTGTCCCCAAGCTAGACTCCAGACAGGTATTTGGGGGTACCTTTGGAAAGCCCCACAGCACAGGATCGAGTTCACATTGGCCAACTCATCATGTCCACCTGCACCAAGCTGCAGAATAAGGAGCATGTGATTGAGGCCCTACACAGGGCCGAGTTCAAGTTCCTTGGCTGCCAGATTACCCAAGAAGTGGGGATTTACTAAGTAAAATGCAGGTGAATTTGGACACTTGGTGGCTGAAAAGCAGCTTATCCCAGACGGCTGTGGGGTCAAATACATTCCAAATCATGGCCTCCTGGGCAAACGGTAGGCCCTGCAATAATGACAGCCTGGGTGCTGCCCCCTCCTTTCTCACACCCACCAATAAATCCAACTTCCTGTCAAAAAAGCAAGAACTTCAAAATTTACATGTTTTCCTCCTATAGAATTAAAATACCTTATTTATTTTGAACTTCTCTTGTGATTCTATTGCCATATCTTCATTGAATCCTTGCATTAACTTTTCCCGGGAAAAACAGGGCAAATCTTGACAAAACTTCACAAGCACAAAGTCTCTCAATTTCACATAGCTTTTGGATGGATCTTCCGCTAAAGAAAAAGCAGAATAACATTTCCTTTACCCAACATAATTTCTTCATCATTTTTAATTTCAAAACACATGCTAGGCTAAAAGGGCAAATATTCTTAAGAGACTTAGATAAAAGTTACAATTTCATTGAAAGGATTATTCCTTATAAGTCAAATAATGGCTCTATTATCTTTGACAAATAAAATTATAGGTATAAGCATTCTGCAATTACATACATTCTTTGGAAATTAGAGTTACTCCTTTCAAATGTAACTTCTTGACTAGTGTCTTATCATATGCATCTTAGTTTTATTTTCAATTAAAGTAGCTGTATAAACAGGAGATTCAAGTTTGGATGATCAATTCCGAAAGAAAGTATTTTCTGATAGCTAAAGGTTTTAATGCTCAATTTTAATTTAACTTCTTTAATCCAGTAACCTTTACACTCTACTATACTACTTTCACACCATTAAAAAAAAAAGTCTTCCTTTTACAAAAAGATATTTTTTAGTTAGGGTAGGGAATAAAATGAGAAGATGATTTCCATCTTTTTTTCATTCCATCTGACAGCATATGTCTTCCCTTATATTTGTCTGTTATCTACATTAGACTAAGCAGTAGACAGGAGTTTGAGTCCCAGTTCTGTCATTCACAGGTGAGGACCTTGGGCAAGTCACCTCACTTCTCATTTTCTGATGAGTAGAGGGCTTGAAGGAAAGAATGTTAAAATCTGAGCTGTTTGTGGATGGTGACTTGACATTGTTACAATATCAATACTCTACAAATCATCCACCAACCCTTATCAGAATCCCAGCTGGCCTTTCTGTTGCAGAAATTCATGAGCTTGTGCTGAAATTAATATGGATATGCAAGGAACCCAGAATAGCCAGAGCAATCTTGAAAAAGAACAAAAGTTAAAGGACTCACATTTCCTGACTTCAAACATACTACAAGGCTATAGTAATAAAGACAGTGTGGTACTGGCTTAGGAATAGACTTAGATATCAATGGAATTGAACTGAGAGTTAAAAATAAACCCATACATTTACAGTCAATTTTTAAGAAGGGTGCCAAGACAGTTCAATGAGGAAAAGAGTCTTTTAACAGAAGATACTTGGACAATGGGATCTCCACAAGCTGAAAGAATGAAGTTAGACCCCCTTTGCTCACACCATAAACAACAAAAACACCTAAAAATCTATCATAGAACTAAATATAAGAGTTTATAAAGCTATAGAAGTCTCAGAAGAAAACAAAGGAGCAAATCTTCATGACCTTTAGTAGGGCAATGATCTCCAAATGGGACCAAAGCACAAGCAACAATGACAAAAGTGACTTTTGTAATTATTGCTATGGAGATTTAAACCTTTTATGCTTCAAATGGTGTTAAGAAAATGAAAAGACAACCCACACAATGGGAGAAAATATTTGCAAGTCATATATATGATAAGGGACTTGTATCCATACTTTTCATATACAAGCTTTAAAATTCAGTAAGAAAAAGACAAAACCCAATTAAAAACCGGGCAAAATTCTCTATAGACATTTCTCAAGAAGATATACAAATGCACAATAAGCACATGAAAAGATGCTTGACATCACTAGCCACAAGGAAATGCAAATCAAAACCATAAGGAAATACAATTTCATGTCCACTAGGATGACTGTAATCACAAAGACAATTATCAGATGTTGATAAGGTGTGGAGAAATTGAAACCCTCACACACTGCTTGAGGAAATGTAAAATGGTACAGCCACTTTGGAAAACTGGTAGTTTCTCAAAAGATGAAACACAGATACCAAGTTTTCTACCATTTCTATTCCTAAATACCTAAGAGATATGAAAACATAGGTCTACACAAAAACTATACATGAATATTAGTAGTAGCATTATTCATAAGAGCCAAAAAGTGGAAACAATACAAATTCCATCAACTGATGAATGGTAATTAAAATGGGTATATCCATAAAATATTATCCATATTATCTGGCAGTAAAAAGAAGTATTAATACAGACTACAAAAAAGATAAACCTTGAAAACATGCCAAGTGAAGGAAACCAATCAGATATTGTATGACTCCAATATCCAGAATAGGCAAATCTTATTACAAAGACAAAAAGTGAATAAGTGGTTGCTAGGAACAGGGGGCAGTGTGACTGCTAATGGATACTGGGTTTCTTTTTAGGAGAAGGAAGTATTCCAAAATTAGATTATGGTGATGGCCATACCATAAATATCATTAAAAAATTAACTATACACTTTAAAAAGTGAATTATATGATATGTTAACTACATCTCAATAAAGCATTTTATAAAACAAAAAGACTGAAGTATGGGTAATATTTTATGATCCTGAGTTACTGTTCAATCACTGATTGCTTCAATCCACAAGTATTGAATACCTTTTTATATGTCTATGTAGCACTTCACTATTAATATATGCATGTAACTATTAAGTAAATATTAATGACGATGGTTTTAATGGATAAGAAGTGAAATTGTCATTACATCAGTTGGTATGAAATCATGATTTATTAGGAATGTACAATAATGAAATCAACACTAAATAACTGATATACAGACCTACAGAGAAAATCATCAAGTAAACCTAAGATTAGATACCCTGTCCCATTCTTCAATCTTTCCCGTATTAATTTGGCTGCACTATCCAGTTATACAAGCCACTTAGAAACCTGAAGAACATTCTGATTCCTTATCCTATGTGCTAACATGAGTAGTTTTTTCAACTACTAAATTACCTCCTTATTCTCTTTATCTGTACGTCCCAACTTTATGAAATGTAAATTGGACTCTGGTGCATCCCTAAATTAAAACCATTCAAGTGTTTCAACATCACTGTAATAGGAGTCTCTAAAAGAAAGAAGAGGCAGAAAGAGTATCTGAAGAAATAATGGCCAAAAACTTGATGGTAAATATGAATCTACTAATCTAGGAAGCTCAACACACTTAAATTAGGAAAAATACAGGGGTTCACACTAAAACATACAAATTGTCAAAAGCTAGCGGCAAACAGAAACAGCAAGAGGAAGAAACAACTAATAAAAAGGAGTCCAGCAGTCAGTGGGGTGACATTTGAAAGTATTGGGGGGACTGGGCAATCCAGAATTCTATATCCAGCAAAATTATCCTTGAAAATTAAAGTGAAATAAAGATATTCCTAGAAAGTAAAGATTGAAGAAATTTGTTGCTAGTAGATCTGACAAGAAATACTAAAGAAATTCTTCAAGCTGAAATCCATATGAAGAAATTCAGAACAATAATTATGAAGAGAAATACAGAAGTTGATTTTTTTCCTCTCAACTGATTTAGAAAACAATTACATGAAAAAAATTACAAAACCTATGTCTGGTTTACAATATATAAAGATACATATGACAGTAGCACATAGGAGGGAGAGTGAATAACTATAATGAAGCAATTTTTTTTTACTGGAATTGAATATTAATCTGAAGTAGTTTATTATAAATGAAGATACATAATATAATCCCTAAAGCAACCACTGAGAAAATTTTTTTAAGAAGTCAAGAAAACAACAAAGGAATTATAAAAATGGTTCACTAAAAATTATCTACTTACGTAAGAAGGCAGTAAAGGAGAAACAGAACAACAAAAAGCAACAATAGAAAACAAAGAGCAAAATGGCAGGTATAATTCCAACCATAGCAATAATTACATTAAGAGTAAATAAACATTCCAAAACAAAGGCAGATATTGTTAGACTGGATAAAAAGAGATTTAACTATATGCTGTCTACAAGAGAAACTCTTTAGATTCAAAGACAGGCTTAAAGTCAAAGCATGAAAAAGACATACCATACGAACAATATAAGGTCTGGAGTGGCTATATTAATAACAGGTAAAATAGAGTTTGAGACATTAGCACAATAACTACAACTACATGAAAAATAATTAATTACCTAGGAATAAATATAATCAAGAAGGTGAAAGACCTGTACTCTGAAAACTATGAGATACGATGAAAGAAAGTGAAGACACAAATAAATGGAAATCTATCCCATGCTCATGGATAGGAAGAATTAATATTGGCAAAATGGCCATCCTTCCCAAAGCAATTAACAGATTCAATGGTATTTTGCAACAGACTAGAACAAATAATCCTAAAATTTATATGGAACAACAAAAGACCCCCAAATAGCCACAGCAATCTTGAGAAAGAGCAAAGCTGGAGATATCATGCTCCCTGACTTTGAGCTACAGTACAAAGCTACAATAATCAAAACAGTATGGTACCGACACAAGAATAGAACCATAGATCATTGGAACAGAATAGCCCAGAAACAAACCCACATGTATATGGTCAATTAATATATAACAAAGGAGGCAAGAATATAGGGGAAAAGACAATCTCTTCAATAAATGGTGTTGGGAAAACTCAACAGCTACATACAAGAAAATGAAACTGGATTACTGTCTTAACACCATACACAAAAGTAAACTTAAAATGGATTAAGTACCTAAATATAAGACATGAAACCATAAAACTCTAAGAAGAAAACATAGCAAAAATCTCTTGAACATAAACATGAGCAATTTTTTTTCTGGATACATCTCCCTGGACAAAAGAAACAAAAATAAAAATAAACTAGTGGGACTACATCAAACTAAAAAGCTTCTGTACAGTAACAGACACCCTCAATACAACACGTAGGTAACCACAGTATGGGAGAATATACTCATAAATGATCATCTGATAAGGGGTTAACATCCAAAATACAAAGAACTCATATGATTCAACAACCAAAACACAAATATCCCAATTAAAGAATAGGTTGAGGACCTGAATAGACATTTTTCCAAAGAAGACACACAGATGGCCAACAGGCAGACAAAAAGATGTCCCATATCCCTAACCACCAGGGAAATGCAAATGAAAATCACAATGAGATTATCACCTCACATCAGTCAGAATGACCACTATCCAAAAGACAAGAAATAGTAAGTATTGGTTAAGGATGTGGAGAAAAGGAAACCCTCCTACACTGTTGGTGGGAATGTAAATTGGTACAGCCACTATGAAAAATGTAAAATAGAAATACCATGCAACCCAGTAATTACACTTTTAGGAATTTACCCAAGGAAGACAAACTCCCCGATTTGAAAGATACATGCACCCTTTTGATTATTGCTGCATTATTTACAATAGCCAAGATATGGAAGCAACCAAAGCGTCCATCAATAGTTGAATGGATAAAAAAGATATGGTACATACACAAAAGAATATTATTGAGCCATAAAAAGGAAAGAAATCCTGCCTTTTGCAGGAACTTGGATGGACCTAGAGGGTATTATGCTAAGTGAAATAAGCCAGGCAGAGAAAGACAAATACCTTATGATTTCACTTATTTGTGGAATCTCAAAACAGGGCAAAACAAAAATGAACAAAACAGCAGTAGACTCCTAAACCCTGAGGAGTGGCTGGTGGTTACCATGTGGGAGGGGTTGTGGTGGGTGGGTGAAATAGGTGAAGGGGATAGAGACACAGAATCTCAATCATAATATTAATATTAATTAGTCAGGATGAGAGTACAGCACAGAGGATATTCAATATTTCTATAATATCTTTGTATGTTGATATTAACTAGACTAGTTGGGGTGAGCATTTAATCATGTAATAATGTAGATAACTGTTGAATCACTATGTTGTGTACTTGAAACCAATATAACATTGTGTATCAACTATACTTCAATTTAAAAATATCAAAAAATATATTAACACAATAAAAAAACTGGGAAAAAGGAGTCTAAGACAAAAACAGAAAAAAGGCACATTTTATAATGACAATTCATGAGGAAGATATCACAACTACATACACAACTAATGAGTCCCAAAATACATTAAATAGAAGCTGATAGAATAAAAGGGGAAATAGACAATTCAACAGAAATAGCTGGAGATTTCAATACTACACTCTCAATAATGGATAGAAGTACACAAAATCGGCATATATGTGGAAGAATTGAACATCTCTATCAGCCAACTTGACCTAGCTGGTATTTATATAACATTGCACCCATCAACAAAATACACATTCTTTTCAAGCACATTCTCCAAGACAGACCATGTGTTAGGCAAAGGATCAATAAACTATGGCCTATGGAACAAATCTCACCCATCATGTTTTTATATGGCATGTGAATAAAGAATGGTTTCTAAATGGTTGTTTAAAAAAAAACAAGAATGCATTTAGCTTACAAAGCCTAAAATATTTATTATACAGCCCTTTAAAGAAAAATTTCATGGTCCCCTACGGTAGTCCATAAAACAAAATTCAATAAAGAAAAACAACTGAAGTCATGACAATAATCAAATTAAATTAATTATAAACAATAGAAGGAAATCTGGGAATACATAATATTTGGAAATTAAAGGACATGCTTCTAAATAATCCATGGATCAAAATGAAATCTCAAGGGGAATTATAAAATATTTTGAACTGAATGAAAGCACAATGTATACAAATTTATATGATCAGTTCAAGCAGTACTTATAGATATATAAATATATATGTAAATATGTCAATATTTGTACATTTAAATGTCTATATTAGAGAAGAAGGAAGACAACAAATCAATAATCTAAGTTTTGATCTTAACTAGAAAAAAAGCAAATTAAACCCAAAGCAAATAAAAGCAAAAAAAATAATAAAAATTAAACTGGACATTAATGAAGTAGAAAACAGAAATAGAAAATTTTTATGAAAATACAAGGGATCTTGGATAACCAAAGAAGTTTTGAAAAAGAACACAGTTGAAAGACTTTCATGTCCTAATTTCAAAACTCTCTATCATGTGCTGCCACCACTAGGGTGGTGATGCCCAAAAGGGGAGACAGGGAGGCCACAAAGGCTGGGTAGTCAATACAGGAGTCCCAAGGAGACTGGCACACAGCTTCAGACTGAAAAGCAGAGGCCAGGAAGAAGTGGAACAAGAAAAGAGGGTGGAGTTAGGGCTGCAGGTGACTCCAAACAGGAGAAAAAATCTCTTGCCTCAGAATAGAGTAAGAATGAAGATGACTACCAGCAAAGGTGTGGAAGGGCTCATCAACATCAGGAATTCCAACCTGGTGGCATGGACAATCAGAAAGGTCACACAAATGATGGGAACAGGCCAAAGGAGCTTTCGAGGAGAGACCAAGAAGACATTGAGAAGAGAAAGCAAAAGAGCATTCATTACATGAAGATGCATTTAGCTGCATTCACCTGGCTGGTGATGATTTGAAAAGAGCAGAAAGAGGGGCAGGAAGCCACAAGGAAAAAATAAGAAGAGACGAAAACAAAAGCAACTTTGTCAGGAAAATAAATGCAGCCATTCACCCTGAATGAGCAAGCATGGCCTGTAAGAGGAAACACCAAGCAAATGGGCCCTGCTGCTGCCAGAACCTATGCTATATCTTCCCACCCTATGGCCTGGCACCACTGCAGCAGCCCCGCACAGCTACAAGTCCCTACTTGAGGTCTCCTCACATAAATCATCTGGGGGAACAGGAAGGCTGGAGGTAGGTGGAGGAAGGACAGCTGCTATCTTAGAGAATAAAAGATGCAGATGCATTTCCTATGTAACTATTTGAATGTTTTTTGCTGTTTTCAGGGCCCCTGTTGTGGGGGGCTGTAGGGAGGTGGGGTGTGTCTGGGGAGGTGGGGTAAGAAGTGTTTCCATTTGTCAGGTAGATTTTACCTTCAGGGGCAGTTGTGCCAGGGTCAACTGCACATGAGTTTGTAACAACCACCCCTCGTCTATGTTGCTTCTGTGCTCATTCAGAGAAGCTGTCCTCTGGGGGCCTGCACCGCAAGGTCCCTGAGGATCATGGCTTGTCACTGGCCAATCCCCTCTGACGTCTCCCTTTTCTATCCTTCCCTACCCTATTCCCACCCACCTGGCCAGGGCCAGTACCCAATCGTACTCATTGATTATTTCAAGAAACTTCTGTTTACTCTGCAGCATCTTGGCAAAACATGCTTTACAAATGCAACTTATACGTTTGGCAGTTTAAACTTTACATTACCATCACAGAAAAACAAACCAACTCAATATAAAACCACAGTGAACTAATCAAGTCAAGACAGTATGATACTGGCAGAGGATAGACATATAGATCATTAAGGAGTCTAGAAATAAATCTCTACATGTACAGTCAACTGATTTCCAAAAAGGTAGCAAGACAGTTCAACAGGGGAAAGGACAGTCTTTTTAACAAATGGTGCTGGGACAACTGGATAGCCACATATAAGAAGATGAATTTGGAAACTTACATTTTACGTAAACTCTGATTGCAAAACTAGGCAGACATACTAACAATCATTGAACTGTATCCTTAAAATGGGTGAATTTTATGGTATGGAACTCATACCTCAATGAAGTTGCTTTAATAAAACCTCTACTAAGTGACAAACTATTAAACATCTCTTCAAAAAAAGGTTTCAAAGTACTAATAGATGAGGCATACGTTTATCCAATGTCAGTTTTTCCAAGTCCACCTCTTTCTGATCTGGTTTAGAAAAAAAAAAATGGCGTTGCTAATATTTATTTAAAAGAAAATTTAGTATGAGTGACTTGTTAAGTAACTTATATAATCTCAGAAGTTTAGGAAAAAACATGGTAAAAATAATTACATTTGAGATAAATCTAAAATCTCACCCCACACTATTACCTCAAATTTTCATATAAACCAAACAAATATGCAACAAATTTCCATTTAGCTTTAAATAAGCCATTACAGACAAGGCTTATTTGCAGTTTAATATAAGGAGCCAAGTCACCAACTTCCAAGAATTTTAACCGTCAGCCTGAAAATGAACTTAAAATGGTGCTATCAAATAATGTGATATTCTTCAATTCCTTTGTTTCTATGCTAAAATAATAAACAATAAATTTTTAAAATGTAATTTGTTTGAATATAAATCTATAGTGAAACATGGGATCAAAAACTGAGTTTTTTTCTAAGTTAAAGATATCACCTAACAACCTAAGTGACTTCTCATTTTGGAAAAAAAAACCTCTCCATATTCATGAGATATATATATAGAAAAAATCATATTCTACAGAAATAACAGGACAATCACCTAAATATAAAAAATTTACAGATAATATTCTAAAAAGCTATATATTTCAGTACTATAAGGAACATTTTAAAGACAGATACAATTAGCTTTTAATATACTATTGATAGACTAATAATACTGATATATATTTAGCTCAAGATCAGTTTCTACTACCACTCCCTTCATAATTCTGGAAGAAACAAATGGTTGATTCTGTGTAAAGGTCACATAATTGATCTGTATTCAAATACTACATATCTTAAGATACTGACATCCTCAAAAGATGGTACATGATAGAAAGAATTATCTTCCAGGGGGCGGAGCCAGGATGGCAGCGTGAGTAGATCAGTGGAAATCTCCTCCCAAAAACACATAGATCTATGAAAATATAACAAACAAAACTCTTCATAAAATAGAGACCAGAGGACACAGGACAACATCCAGACCACATCCACACCTGCAAGAACCCAGTGCCTTGCGAAGGGTGTAAGATACAAGCCCCGGCCCGGCGGGACCCGTGCGCCCCTCCCCCTGGCTCCCAGCGGGTGGAAAGAAACCGGAGCGGTTTTTTTTTGGTGAGTGCTTTTTGGAAGCCTTAAAGGGACAGGGACGCCAGTGCTAGGGAGGCAGGGCAGCAGGACCGGTGAGCAGGTGCCTGGGACCGGCGCCAGAGGACAAAGAATATTGCGTGTTTTTCCCTTTTTTTTTTTCTTTTTTTGGCGAGTGCTTTTTGAAAGCCTTAAAGGGACGGGGACCCAGATGCCAGGGAGGCAGGGCGGCGGGAGCGGTGGGTGGGTGCCTGAGACCAGCGCCTGAGGACGGAGAAAATCGCGCATTTTTCCCCTTTTTTCTTTCTTTTTGGCGAGTGCTTTTTGGAAGCCTTAAAGGGAAAGGGACCCCAATGCCAGCGAAACAGGGCGGCAAGACTGGTGAGCGGGTGCCTGAGATCAGCGCCTGGGGATAAAGAAAATCAAGCGTTTTTCCCAATACTAGGGAGGCAGGGCGGTGGGACCGGGGGGCGGGGGCCTAAGGCTGGCGCCTGACGACAATGAAAATCGCGGGTTTCTCCCTTTTTTTTTTCTTATTGGTGAGTACTTTTTGGAGGCCTTAGGGGGACAGGGACCCCAGTGTCAGGGAGGCAGGGCGGGTGAGTGGGTGCCTGGGACCGGCGCCTGGGGACAGAGAGGGTCGCGTGTTTTTCCCTTTTTTTTTGGTGAGTGCTTTTTGGAGGCCTTGGAGGGACGGGGACCCCAGTGCTACAGAAGCAGGGCGGCAGGAATGGTGGGCGGGTGCCTGGGACTGGTGCCTGAGGACAAACAATAGCGCGCATTTTTCCCTTTTTTTTTTGTTTTCTTTTTTTTGGGCAGGTGATTTTGGAAACCTTGAAGGGACACGGACCCCGGTGCTACAGAGGTAGGGCAGCAGGACCGGTGAGCGGGTGCCTGGGACCAGCGCCTGAGGACAAAGAAAATCGTGCGTTTTTTTCTTTTCTTTTTTTTTTTTCCCCCTCATTCGTTGTTGCTGCTGTTGTTTTGGTTTGGAGAGTGCTTTCTGGAAGTCTTAAAGGGGCAGGACTGGACACTTAGACCAGAGGCAGGGAATCTGGGGATCTCTGGGCACTCTAACCCCCTGGGGAACAGGGAGCACAGAGGACCCCTACAGAGATAAATAGCCCCCGGCTGCTCCCCCTCCAACAGGGCACCACCATTTTGGAGGAGCAGCCCCAGCCAGGCCACGCCCACAGCAACACCGGAGATAAACCCCATAGCAAACGGGCAGGAAGTAGAAGCCCTGTCTGCACACAGCTGACAAGCATAAGCCACTAGAGGTCGCTATTCTCCCAGGAGAGGAAGGCCACAAAACAAAAAGAAGGGAAACTCTTTCAGCGCTCACTTGTACCAGCTCCGCAAACTATCTCTATCACCATGAAAAGGCAAAACTACAGGCAGACAAAGAACACAGAGACAACACCTGAGAAGGAGACAGACCTAACCAGTCCTCCTGAAAAAGAATTCAAAATAAAAATCATGAACATGCTGACAGAGATTCAGAGAAAAATGCAAGAGCAATGGGATGAGATGCAGAGAAAAATGCAAGAGCAATGGGATGAAGTCCGGAGGGAAATCACAGATGTCAGGAAGGAGATCACAGAAGTGAAACAATCTCTGGAAGGATTTATAAGC